GGAAGGAAGGAAGGAAGGAAGGAAGGAAGGAAGGAAGGAAGGAAGGAAGGAAGGAAGGAAGGAAGGAAGGAAGGAAGGAAGGAAGGAAGGAAGGAGTATATGCTTATAGATACAGAGAAAACCCTTGATTCTGTATGAAACAAAGCTAATAAGGAAATTGGCAGGAGAATTAGAGCTGGAGTGTTGTAATTTTTAAGGTGTTTCTGTAACATTTTGAAATACTGACTTAGATTTTTTTTTTGACATTTTCTTTGTGAGATCTGCACTGGAAGCCCCCAGGGCATATTGGAGAGCCAGGATCTGGTCACACAGGCTGTAGCTGACCCTTTGGGTGTGTTTGCTTTTASCGTTGATTTCTTCCTGGCCAGTACTTCTCAAGCTTTTGCTGGAACTTGTGCCATATGGCACATGCAGCTGATGTATGCTCTGCAGCTCTTCATGCCTTGGCAGACACATCATGGATCAGAACTGACCCAGAAGATGGCCAGTAGTGAGATCTGTAACTACAGATACAGTGATGAAAGGGCCTTTCATCGCTTCTCTGAGCCTGCCATCCTCCCTGCAGCTTTTCTCAAGCATAAGCATGTTACTTGCTTGAATTAACTGACCATTTCAATATAACATTTATTATTTTTGTATCTGCTGGAAGTTTCAACACAAAGAGCTGGTGATTACATCCAGACAGCAGAGGGGTGGGAGCAGGAGGGCGTGTGCTTGAAGCACTTGTCCTAATGAGAGGACAGGTTATTTGGGAGTATTTCCAGATGTACTGCAGGAGATGTGTTTGTTTGAAACTGGTTTGGGCTAGGGTGTATTTCCATAGAATTTGTGGGAATGAGATTACATCATTCAATAACTTTGTCTGAAAGAGATATCTGGCCACCAGAAAGCCCTGGAATAACCGTGATGCCTGAAGGGAGTTCAGTGAGTCCTGTTACATCTGGACTGCAGTACAGCATGGGGTAGAATGCACACTCGTGCTCAGTCTTACCCCTATTTTGCACAGGTTGAGTAGAATCCAGCCACTGCAGTGAGTCTCTGAAATAAGTGCTGAGGCTAAATAAATAAATAAATAATATTAAAAAAACCTATCCAACCACCACCAAAACAAAAACAAAAAAACACCCAGACCCTGTGATCAACAAAAGAAGCCTGCAAATCTGAGTTGGAGAGAGGAGTTAATTCAGGCTGATCTCAGGATCAGCTTCAGATGAGCTGTTACAGAGTAACCTCATTAAAGTTCTAGGTGGAGTAGCAAGCAGCAAGTTAATGAAGGTTGCAGATGGCACTAGACTCAGTAGAATCCTATGTGTCTTGAATGACAGAAGTAATAGAGGGGATTGRGAGAGATTAGAACCAGAGATAGAAATTAACAAAATGAGATTCTTGTAGGACAACTTAAGGACTGATTCTTCTGGGAGAAAATAATCTGCTAAGTAGAGAATCCTGCAGCAATAATCTGCAGTAAAGAGAACTCTCAAAAGCAGTAACACTCTGAAAGACTTGCATTTAATAATGGATACCCTTCTGAGATAATARTTTGCATCATAATGTAGCCACTATAAAAAGAAAAAATAAATTTGAGCTACATTTTTCTAAATAGAATGTCTAATATGAAGACCTTCTTTCTGTGTGATTCTCTGTCACAGAGAGGGACTTGCATCCCTCTCATGCCGTATTTCATTTGGAAGAGGTCCTTTGCTTTCTTTGGAAAGCAGTGCTGAGAACTGTTCTGACTGGGAGGGGGYTGAGTGAGAATTCAAGTCTTCAGCAGAAATAGAGAGTCATTAGTCTGTTGCGAGCTGCATCCGTAATAGGCCTGAGCAGCAGTCATCAGACATCTGTAGCAATGTATGAATAGCAGTGGATTTAAATGTTCGCTCTGCAAAGGCTGCCTCTAGTTCTCCAGAAAGTCCTTGCCTTTGCTTGCTGGGCCCTACTAAAGGTCTGGAAAGGTGAGAAGATCTGATGGGTCTACTCATTTGACTAAAGAAACACAGAGAAGTGAAGGAGAAAGAGATTTTCTTTTCCCTTCTGTTCCTTGCCTTGTTTTRCAAACTAATACCTGTCTGTTTGTGTTTCAGAGGAGAAGTGCCGTAGCTTTATTGAGCTTTCCCCACCAGCAGAGAGAGGTAAGAGCAAGTTTCTTTCCCTCAGCTTAGCTGCCTGGTTCACCTCCTTGGAACAAGGGACCTGCAACATTTTGCGTGTGTGGGGACAGCAAAGTGGGGCCCTGAAAGTCAGGGATGAAATCCTTATCTGATACATGTCTCACAGATATAAAAAGAAGAAAGAATTCCTGCAGAGGTTTGTCTAAACCCCTGCGATCCATGAGATCCCTACTAGAAACCTCAGTCCCCCTCCCATGGGAAAGCGGGATTTGTCTCATTTAATGGTGCCCAGTATAAGCTTGTCACCTCGCTGTAGTCAGTGGGAAGGAGACAGAAAACACSCAAGGGCAATTCTTCCCACACATGCTGGGTGTTGACTCAGTGCTACAGTCTGGGGGTTTAACACGTTGCTTCTGGGTACTGAATCATCTCTTACTTGCAGTGAATGATCAGGACATCTGAAAGCTAAACTTTACACACAAAGCTTCCTTTAAGCTGGAGAGATCTTCCTCACTGTTTCTGAATAGTCATCCAGAGAACACGGTGCTAGAAAACAGCCGTCTATTTTGAACACATCTGCACTCCCATTTCTGTGAGCTGAAGCTGAGCCTTGGATTGTTTGCCATGGCTAGTCCTCTTCTCTGCTTGGAAGTTTCCCTCTCCCCAGTGAATGCTCTGATCATATCCTGAAAATTATCCAGGCAATAACTTCAATATAGTTATATATATGTGTGCACATGTGATGGAGAATACTTTTAATCTTTCCTTTGAAATTATTAAAACTGGTGTCAGCTCAGTAGATATTTCCTGAGCTGGAGTCTGAAAGCTTGTCAGTTGAGAAGACATTTATACATGAAAGGAAAGGCTGAGGGACAGAACCTGTGTCATGTTTAAGTCACTAGAGAAAGAGCTTGAACACAAACCTGGGAGTCACTACAGCTAGTATGGAGATGAGTCCTTTTGAGGAGGTAGTTTTCTTTGCAAATCTTTCTCAATCTTGTTTCYTTCATTTCAAAAAAAAAAAAAAAGTGATATGCTTTTATAAAGCCATTTACTTTGATGGGTAAGGAGGCCAATGTAAGTAACGTGGAATCACCATGCAGATTACCAGTGTCACTCTGCACAGAGCAGCAGAGTAGAATCATAGAATGCTTAAGGTTGGAAGGGACCTCAGAGGTCATCTAGTCCAACACCCCTGCTCACGCAGGGTCACCTAGAGCACGTGGCACAGGGCTGCGTCCAAGCGGGTTTTAAAGATATCCAAGGAAGGAGACTCCACAACCTCTCTGGGCTGCCTGAGTAGAATAACCTCTCCTGCTGATCCTTTCTGTAATAAATATTTATACAAATCAAATAATGTTACCAGATCATTTTGAAGACATGTAGTAGCAAAGTGAACCACTCCTGCAAGTATCATGAAGTGTTCAGCTCACAAAGTGTAGTAAATCCTTTTCTTACCCCTCTTGATCTCTACTCACTGCCCAGCCCTCTGTCCTTAATGCTTCTGTTATCCTCCTTAAAGCCTCTTTTCCAAGAGATTTGTGCAACTGGACTATGTGTCTTTGTAAATCGTCCTATTGGCCTCCCTCCCCATTCCTCCTACTGCATATTGAACTCCCACTGCAATTTTCAACATAAATTTGACAGAAAGGCCATATTTTGTAARACATTGAGTTCCTACAAGTTAATCAGATCATTGTGAGCACTGACGCTGTGAGCTTAACAGCCCAACCACCTGCTTTTGCCCCTGTCACCTGTGACACAGCACCATCTTAACAYGACCTGGGCTTGCACAACCAGCTGCCAGGGTGTAGCTGGCCAGTGCTGGAGAAGATAGTGTGACCTTTGAGGGCTACCAAGGTGGGCTGGCTGTGCTGGGGCTGTGTTGCGCAGCTCTACATCACAGAGACAGCAAAACCATCCTACATGGTGAGCATGGACTCAGAGAATAAGCAGTTTGCACATACACTTAAGGCAGCCTTGCCTCTAATGTGATTGTCTCCATGATGTTGCTGCAGCAAGCAAACCAGCTTCTGTAAGTGGGGAATGCCTCCCATTAATTCATGCTAAAGAGCTGGGGAGCTGTATGGCAATAAAGGCATCTAGGAGTCAAGTCAGTGCCACATTAATGAGTATTTTCTTCACACTCCTTTCCCAGTTGACTGTCTCCTCTGGGATCATACTGTTGCTACCTGTATTGTTCACAGTGCTGCTTTATTTAGCAGATTAATATTCTTTCTCAGTGAGTTCTGTGTTCTTCCGCAGCACAGAATTACAGAGTGCCTTTTGTCATTTTCCTGCAGGCCCTACTGCACAGTGAGCTTGGCTGAGAACTGTGATATCACTTAAGTAYCACTTATACTCTCAGTGTGAAGGTGCCTCCACTTGGTTCAAGCCGCAGGGAGAATGATGAATGCTATTGCCCTGGATGGATATCCACATTGAGGAATATAGTCTCGATTTAATTGAGGTTTCAAGAGAAATATATGCCTGCAGGGGGCCTCCTGAATTCCAGAAGCCAAGTCCCACCCCATAACATACAGTTCTTTTCTTAAGTAGTTTGTGTTCTTTTCTTAACTAGTTCACAGTTTCAAAGTCATTTGCTTCTGCTGTTGTGATTAGAAACCTGGTCTGAATGTCACTACAGGAATGATTAAGAACTTTCTAATGTCCGTCTGTGTTCATGGGAAACTGGTGACCACTTGTGTTTTTGTTCAAACACAACATCTTTTTTCCTCTGCCTTTTGTCCCATGGCTTCTTTCTTGCTGTTTATGAATGATTCTGGTCTATTTACAGACAGCTCTTTTAGTCCTTTTCAGCTTTTGTTTTGACAGACYGGCCAAGCCATCTTGCGTGACAGACTGTCCCCCTCAGCATCCTCTGAGCCTTTGCTCACAGGCTGGGGGGTTGTTGCTGGGTGTTGGTTGTTCTCCTTCTTTCCCTCCCGTACAGTGGACACGCTTTCAGGATTGGGTTGGGAAGCAGGGGGGTAGCCAGCGCAGTCTGTGTATTGATTTGAGAGGTCTCTGGTTGCTGACAGGAATCCTGTGGCTGTCTCTGGGGTCAGAGATGCTGTACATCAGCTTGCTGCTCATCAGCTTCATCCTCTTGGTGGTAGAAATGCTACATACCAGCAATCCTGTTTGTGGGATGAAGCTCAATGCCTTCGCTGCTGTCTCCTCAGTGCTGTCAGGTAAGTGCCTCACTGCACATCCCCGGGATATGTCTAGGGCCCCGAGATGGGGTCGTACAGACAGGAAGAAACTGAAAGACTCTTAAATTCAGCTGTCTTTGTTATTGGGAATCAAGAAGAAAATTGGCAGTAAAGAGTATATAGCTAAAGAGAACATGAGCAGGTGCTGGAAGGAGATACAATGGTTCAGGAAGGATCTTGGAGAGGTAGTGTCCCAGCTGCAGCAACAGGTGAGATTCCTCCTCATCCAAGGATGACGTATGTGAGACTGGCCCCTGCCATGACTTCCTTGCTCTCTTGTCTTGTGTAGGTCTTCTTGGGATGGTGGCACACATGATGTATACTCAAGTCTTCCAAGCAACAGTCAATCTGGGACCAGAGGACTGGAGACCACACTCATGGGACTATGGCTGGGCTTTCTAGTATGTGTGCTCTGAAATCCTCTTCATCACTCTCAGCTTTTGAGTTTCAACCACACTGCACCTTCCCAAAGCCCTCTTTTTCCCTTCTAGACCTTCGTTTCTGAAGACAGATGTGCAATGGTTTTCCTTGTGCTCATTCTCCTGTGTTTTCTTAATTCCCTGTTTTAATGAATAGCTGCTGAGTTAAGTACTTAAATGAGTAGTTGCCAAGATTAGTAGTCTGCAAAAGGCAGACTACTCAGGATTTCCTTCTCTAAAGGCAAGAGAAGCCAACCTCTATCTGCTAATTCATAACTGACTTGAAAACCAGTTGGATGAAGCTTGCCTGTGCCCATAGATGCAGGCTGTTCGCAGGACATGACCATATTGTTCCTTATGGTTTAAACACTCCCATGTGATGTCTCACTGTGGACACCAGGATGGCCACTTGGTTATGCCTTAAGTAGACATGCCTCATGTCCAGGAAGATGCTGAGCAGCCCTGTACTGCAGAACTGCTTCCAGGCAGTGTTGCCCTACTCAGAGCAGTGCTTGATTTTCCAGATGCTCTTTTGTCTTTTCTCTGCTCTCTGCCTTTCCTGTGGTGAGGATGACCAGTACTTACCCCATTGCTCTAAGGAGGGGCTGGTGGTGGGACAATACCTGGGAGCTATAACAGTACGAGTCACACACCTCTGGCTTTCTAGCTCATGTCCCTCCCCAGGTCAGTAGATCCTGCCTAGCACCTTAGGATATGTCACAGTGCATGTGGTTTGATTCTTAACCCTCCCTGGCTTTTCATGTCATATACTTTCCTTGTGTCTCTCCTGTAGCATGGCCTGGGTCTCCTTCACCTGCTGCATGGCCTCTGCTGTCACTATCCTCAATACCTATACCAAGACAGTGCTGGAGTTCAAAAGGATCCACATCAAGGGCTACAGTGAGAGTTTCAAGGATCAGGCCCTCTACCACCAGTGCTACATACAGCAGCAGATAAGCAGCTACTACCAGCAACGAGACAGGCCCCTCCGTTCCGTCTCCGAGGGCGTCGACTTCTACTCTGCGCTGCAGCGGAAAGTGCTGCAGCAGGAACCAGAGCTGGAGCTGGACGAGGCCTTGGGACAGACAGATGGGGAGGCCCAATTCTAGGGAGGTGTGCAGGGGGAAAGCAGATGGTTTTGGGAGACAAGAAGGTAGTAACACTCCGAACCGAACACCAGCGAGTTCCTGGGGAGCTCCTTCCTCCTCTAGTGGTTCTAGGGGAGAGAAGGTGAGGGCAGCAGCAGTGCCAGCAATGTCAGGGTGGGTGCACCCTGCTCATGGGTTGCAGGAGTCCTCAGCTGTGAAAGATGCAAGTGGGGCAGAGGGAGCACAGAACTGGATGGGACTTCCTATTCGTGCCAGCTGTCTCCAGCATTGGTGGACAGGTGCCGAGGGAGATGTCTCAATCCCAACAGTACTGCAGTGCATGGATAGGTACGTTCAGTGCAATCCAGACAGCAAGTTGCAGTGCTGGGTCTCTTTGGATGGTGCCACACGGACCTTCCAACACTCCCCTCAGATCTGCCCTAAAGTAGAGGCTGTGGATGCCCACACTGATTTGCTGTAGTCCTATGAGAGCTTCCTATTTCTTCATTTCCAGACCCAAGATTCTGTTCCCCCCACAGATGGAAAGGGCTGCTGGAGTAGGGGATGAGAGGTTGCTTTCATACGTCTCYTCCTTTCTACTACTTCAATTAACTCCCCCATTCTCCCTTCTTGCCTCCCCACCCTCCTCTCCCCCCATTTTGTAGGAACCTTCTTACCTGTTGTCTTCTACTGTGCTTCCCCACAACCTTTAAGAATCTTTGTCTTGGTTTTTGTTCTATGGTTGCTTCTTTTCACCCCATCCATTTCTCCCACAGTAAAAAATTCCACATTAGCAAACCCAGAAACTCTCAAAGGTGAAACTGGGATTCAAATGTCACACCGACACAGAATCACAGCATTTATTTGCTCCACTGCAGTTCACAGTTAAGTTTCCCCAACAATATACAGACAGACTCTTTATTCACAGTGGGGACATGGGGGCGGAATTCACATTGTGAGTGAGCTAACATCACTGCACTTGATTATCGGTTCTCTCTAGGAAAAAAAAAATAACGCAGGAGAATAACAACTTCAGGTAATGGATATCTCACCTTTCCCAGCAAGGTGGTGGCTACAACAGGAGGGGAGAGGCACCCCTGCCTAGTCCTCCTATGCTACTGGTCCTCACGCTTTCAGTCTGCATTATGCAGCTGTATTAATTGACCATGTACTATAAACACTAACCCCTGTCTAGAGGAAAATCATGGGCCGAGAGCTGTTGCTACAGTTGTGCTAATATATACATAGCTAGTTACACAAAAATACCATTGAACATATACAAACTGTTAACAGGCTCTGGCTTTAGGAGGGCCCAAGGGCCAGCCTCGGGGCTTGCAGCTAATCCTGAAGAGGCATCCAGGAAGCATCGTCAGAGAGGCAGCGACGGGGAAGTGACAGTGATGTTTCAAGGAAAGGTGTAAAAGCGAAGTCAGGAAGTGCCCATCAGCAGGAGGACGGCAGAGCAGTTTGCTTTGCTCACCTCAGTCTGGCTCTAGCTAATGTTAAAGGTCAGGCCTACAAGACATATATTGTGAAAGCACGTTCTAGTGCGGTACGGGGAGCTGCTGGGACACCAGTGRTTGGTTTGTGTGTGGCCATGTCTACTGCACGAAACTTCACGTAGATGCACATAGAACCATGAGCACATAGCTCAAAGCACTAAACCTATCAAGAGCAAATGTGTCCTGGCCGTAGTCAGTTCCTGCTGGAACTGCACTTTGAACCAGGCTGGCAGAGGAACAATAAAGCTTAGTCCCCTGCAGTGCATGTTCTTGTTCCAGGGCTGGTCTGTGCAGTGTTGGTTCCCACCGTTACAGCAGGGAATCCTTCAGGCCGGTACAACTGTGGGGTCAAAGTGCACAGGAGAGTTTTCCAGTTCCACCTCTTCGAGCTGCCAAACCCTGAAGCAGCGATGTGAGAAGGGGCCTTTCTGTGCCCGGATCTGGTGTGAATCATCATCTCAGTGGCTGAGATCTGCTGGGAAGCTACTGTGAAAGGGCTATAGTGCATTGCAAAGTGGGGCTCAGCCCACAGGGCTGCAGTGGGAGAGTGTGAGGTTACAGTGACACTTGGGGCTCATAAAGTGCTTAGGAATAGAAGAGGAGGGGAGGAGGTAGAAATGAGATGTGAATCTTTTGCTTAGACATCACTCACATGAACCTGTCTTGAGCTTGGGATGGGCAAGAGAAATACACAAGTGCAAAGGCTGGGAAATGGTATGGGGCCTTCTTGCTCCAGATCACGTAATTCAGACAGAAAGACAATTATTGGGAACAAAATGGAAAAGAGGTATGAGATCTCAGAAAAGGTTGTGGATTAGATTAGTCCTATAGGAGTCAGGCAGAGGCTTCCCTCAAATAATATAAATATTGGTTGGTATCCTTTAGCCACACCATCTGCCTTGAGCTACCATGGCCCACTTCAGGCCTTCAGCTTGTTTCACTGCCAGGGAATACTGTTTGGACATAAAAAGGCTTTCCTAAATCTTGTTCATAAATTAAGCATACAAAAAATATACATATATAAATGGTTATATACACACATATATATACACCCACTATTCTTTATATGTGTGGGTATACATATATACGTATATATCTGTGTATATAAGTTAATTCTGAATTCACATTTTCATGTTACCTGGAAGGAAGCATGCAAGAAGGGCATAAGCAGAGGGAGACGCTGAACAAAGTTCCTCTAGTAAGGTTCTGTCTAGAACAAACCTGCCTTCACCATTCCCCAGGGAGCTGAAGAAACTGGAAGTGCTCTTAGCCCCCTTTCCCTCTATACAGCAGTATTCACGGAGACCCATGGAGCAGCTTCCTCTGTTCCACCCTTCAGGCGACATGTCTAGCTGAAACCTGAGGAATCATCAGGCTAGAGCTGGAGGAGGAGAGGGAAACAGAAAAACAAAGCCAAAACCCACTATCATACAACCTGACAAAGAAGTACTTCACAGGTCAGCAACAGCATTTATGAATCACCACAGAGGGGGCCCTTGTTTGCCCTGTGGTCAAAACAAGGAATCCATGTCCCACCTCTCTGTTCCCTCTGTGAGTCTCTCAGTTCCCTGTGATCATCATCTCTGATTCTTTCTAAGGTCCCCTCTGCAAATGTCCAACTGCAAAATTATAGTCAAGCCACCATCCAGCTTACCCCAAAGGTGTGATCATCTTGCAAATAGTCTGCTTGTACCTCACCCTATAAAAATCACCTAACCGGGTCTATAGGGAAGAGATTTGATCTCTTGAACCGCCTGGACTTCATCAGAGACTCCTGTACAATCTCACCTTGTGAGGAAAATCAACAAATTTCAGACGGGCAAGAAATCGTCTCACTTCCCCACGGCTGATTTGGGGAGTGGTGTTGTCCTTTAACCACATCATTCGGCCTTGAGTCATCATGGCCCACTTCAGGCCTAGTTTGCTGACTGAGAAAAATCCTGGCTGTTTTTCAGAGGTTGCAGTTGTTGTAACAGTGATATAAAATGCATCCTTCTGGAGATCATTAATTCCAACTGGTCCATCAGAAAAAGAAGAGAAAATATTGGTGAGCACTGAATGTTTTCTTTCTTCTAAAAGAAATCTCAGTCTATACTTAGTCTGTACTCTACACTAGACTAACAGTGGATTCACTCTGATTCTCCAGTTGCAGATACCTTCATACATCAGGGAAAATGGTTTTAAGACTTTATTTATTTATTTATTTTCAGTGGAAATAAATTGAAATGCAGTTCTGGTTTCAGATGACATTTTTGCTTCTCAGATAGGAGATATATATAAGGGAAAATTGGCAAACCATGGAGAAATCAGTGCATCCCAACCACAGCAAAATGATCTGTACAGACCTCAAAGCACGGTTTCTAATAAATGATCTTCTATTTGCACTTGACTGAACTGAGTTTTTGATACAATTTTGATTAGATGTGTGACTATCTAGCAGCACATCCCTGCCTCCTGGCCCGCTAGACTCAGTACTAGATGAACTGATCTTTTATCTCACATCCTGCCATGCTAAATCGAATGCTGGCTGAACTGCTTTAGGAGTAGGAAAGGATGGCCAACAAAGGCAGAAGTGTGTGTGAGATGAATGAGAAAAGTTTAAAGTGATGCTTCATGTGCTGCATTAAATCATAGATAGTGCCATGGAAAACAAAGGAAATTCTCTGGTATAAAACATACAGCTCACACTGCTCACACCTTGTCAAGAATTTGACAAGTCTTCCATTTGCCTTGGGATTGGACAATTTGGGAGGAAGAAAAATCTGTTTTCCTTTTGCTGGCCTACACTTAGTGGACCTCAGGTGCTACCTTTGAAGGCACAGCTAGACCCCACGGTCCTCGACAGCTGCCTCTCCCCTCCTCCCTACTTCTTTGGGCCTATCTTACCTCGATTTATACTCACCCGCTGATGCAATGACTTTGTCTGTTGCATTGGTGAGATCCAGTAGGACAGTAGGAAAGACAGGATGGAGGAAATACAGGTGGTGCAACCCTGGGCGCTCAGTTCTGGGACCAGGTTGCTGTTGGAATGAAGAAGAAACAGAATGTTAGAGTTGACTGTTAGACAGAATTCCAGCTCTGCCAAAGGAATAAAGTTGCTTTATGACACTGTGTCACTTTAACATGGATCAGACAATCAAAAGATTAACAGTTTTACACTTCACACAAACTTTTCATTCTGAAACAGACTATTCCCAGTCTCATCCTGACAAAGTTGGGATCTGGGTCTGTGAAACTCAGCTTGATGGGCCAAGCTAGAGTCTTGAAGTTTGTGCCTCCACAGTGACATGTGTGCCTGTGTTCTGAGAAGAATGAACCCTGGGGCTAAGAACAAATCTACAAAAAAGAATTTCAGTGTTCCATAAAAAAACAAACAAGCAAAAAAACCCCCTGACATTCCCATAAAAAGTTTTGTTTTTGTGGAATCAAACTTTTTGGCAATAGATTTTTCTGGGGGAGAACTCAGATACAAAAACACATGTGCAGACTCAGACAGGTTACAGTGTCAAAGCAAGAGGCCTGGCAGTCTCTCATAAGGCAGGTTTCAAGTTCAGAATGTTAAGAATAAAAGAGAGACATGGCATGTGCCTTACAGAGAAACCTCAAAGCAAAGGAGGACATTTGCTCACCAGAGTTTGTAACAAAGATTTTCCTTCATCAGCCCAGAAGAGAAAGACAGATTTCTTCTCCAAAGTCATCACTGTCAGTGCATCGAGATCTTGCTTCTGCCACGGAAATTCTTGATTCCAAACAGGGAAGCCTGATTTGCCATCTATCACCACCACCTCAAAGCAGAAAAGAGACATGGCATTAACAGGAGTTTAAGTGTGGATGCAGAGAGAGGCCCCTTGCCCTGACACTTCTTCTGCCTGTGGACACACGGTGATCAGTATGAATCACAGAAAGACAGGAATAGGCAATGACTGCCCATTCAGACCAACCTCCCTCACTCCCATACCACACAGACCTTCTCGTCTCCCCTTGCTTTACCTTTTTCTTCCCATCTCCAGTCTGTGCTTGTAGCATGAAGTCCAGGGTTTGGTCAGAACCAAAGTAACCAGGGACAGGCTGACTGCAAATGTGGACAGAAAAACACTCAACCCCACGCAGAAAAGCAAGGATTTCAGATTGAGACAGCACACTTACTTTCATCTTCCATTCTGCCTCTTACAAAATCAAAATTTGCCATCTTAAGTAAGATCTTTTATCCACCAATACCTGCTTTTACCAGCAAAAGCCATTTGTTGGTGGATCAGAGAAGTGACAAATGATTAAGCAGCCCATGGTGCTTGTTAGTCATTCTTGAGAGTTCTCTGTGTGGCAGGCATCCCTTGCTGCATTGGGTACATATCTGTTTATCATCTTGTAACATGGCTCTGTGTTATACTTCCCATAGCATTAGACTCTGTAGTTTTGCTATGGATATAAAAAAAATACCCAAACCTTCAAAATTCATCAGCAAATTTTACCTCTTGCTGGAAGTTTATTTCCTGGGCTGCCTTAGATGTCTGAAATGGCTGTTAATATACCCAGTACTAATATCAGCTCCTGATTCTTTGTTTTCTTACTGTTGGTAGTTGTACAAGCCTTTTTATAACTATAAATAGTTTTAATCAAGTCCCTTCTTATTCTTCCCCTTCTGGGTCAAGTCCTTTCCTATTCTTCCCCTTCTGGATCATGTAATCTCCTTGTAACTGTTTTCTAACCATCTTGCTTGCCTTTGGCTTTCTGAATCTCATCTCTGTCTTCCTCAAGTTCACCACAGCTGGACATAAGGTTCTAAATAAGCACAGATGTTTCTTCAAAGTTCACAGAATCAGAAACTTTAGGCCAAGTTGAGATCATCAGACCATGTCTCTTGCTTATGACAGACTGGTGTATTTCACCCACTAATCAAGTATTAGTAGGCAGAGTTTGACTAGATCTATCATGCAGAAGGAATGAAACTTGCTGTGAAAATACAAAGATGACATGCGTCAATCACTTCTCCTGACAATCAGTTCTAATGATTAACTTAAGCCACAGAAACACAGCTGCCTTTCTGGGACATGAATGGATTTCACTCAAAGGTAGTTGTTCTTGCTCTGGCAAGATTAAAATGCCTAGTAGCTTCCATTACTTACACATGCTTTTGAGCTCACCTCTAGGGCTTCTCGTTGATCATCTAAACCCCATGACTTAAATCTCCAGTGCTTTTTCCTCCAATTTTTTTCAGCTTCCACTTTAAAATACATATACAAGAAGGGCTCCAGAACAACAAAGCCGTCATACAGTATTGACATGACTATTTATATTTAATGCATTAAACAATGCTATTTGCTTTACAGATCCTTTCGACAACTAGTACCAATGCTTTCAAGGCAATATCATGATAGGCTCCCATAGCTTGCAAATGTATCACTAGTAAAAGGAAGTGGATAGATCTTTCTTACRGATACTAATTTAAATACTCTCCTTAAGGTATCACTTCTCAAGTTCCTTAGTGGTTACAATCAGTGGCAGATCCCACAAGCCGAATGGAGAGAACCACGTGTATTGTAGCTGGCAGATCCCCTGTGCACTTTCTCAAATGAACCAGAAAGCTAATAATACTTCCTGGCTGACTGTAATCCCCACTGCAACAACCTGCTATTAATCCTCTCTCATTCTGAAACATCCATTAACAACACAATTTTCAACTGCTTACCCAATTTCATGGTCTCTGAACTTTGCCCTTATTTTGTGACTCCTGACTTTCCTTTAAGATCTTTCAGGGATCTTGTCAATGCTATATGGAAATGCAGCACACCTGCAACAGTCAGGCTGTTTTTATTGGAGACTGTTCCCAATGTAGTTGGGACAGGTTTACCCAGAGAAGAAAGAAGCTCTCAGCTGGCTCTGTAAGGTCTGTCTGATGATGACTTTGGATTGGGCCTCTTCAATAGGAAGAAGCTCTGCCAGTGCCTGAGCTCCCTTGGAAGGGCTGGGGTTTTGGTCTGATTCCTCTCTCTGGTATGACTGGAAATCAAACGTATGTCCTAGCTAAACAAGTTGAGCACTAAAGTCTGCTGTGTGCATGACAAGACAACCCTGCTTGGAAATCGGAGCGAACCAGCTGCCTTTCCAGAAACTGTAGACTAGCTCTTTCCCCCACGCATCTCTGTAGATATGATTACGCAACTGGCCTAGGTAGGGCCAGTCCTTGTGAAGAAAAGGTCTCAACTCCATCTCCAATGCCAGCTCACACTCCATGTTCTGCAGTCTAGCTTACTTCCTTTTCACATCTGAAGTGCCACATTGGTGACTTGAAGATTCCTCGGGCATATTTGTCCCTCTGTAGAATTTGCAGAGACCAATTCTGTAAGACACCCGCAAGTCTCCATCTTGTTGTCTGACTCTGGTGGCAATCCAGAGCTGAGTTTGTCCCCCCACCTTTGTTACTAAACAGAACTTCTAAAATGCTAAAATAAGACTACCAGACTTTGTCCCTCTTAACTCAGAAAAAAAATATACAGTAGAGGACTTTAGTGTAGTGGCCTTGAACAGGACTTTTTAAATTACTTTCCAATCCCTGTCTKGCACCTCCTGTATATTGTGGTATTATTGCTTAGGATGTTGTGGAATCAAAGAAAACAGGGCTGGCATGCAGGAACCTGGAATACAGGTTGCCCACAGAGGCTGAAGAGTCTCTATCCTTGCAGACATTAAAAATCTAGGACTAGATATGGTCTAGGGCTAGACATTAAAAATCTCAGACTGCGCTAGTTGACCCTGCCTTGAACATGAGGATGGCACATGACAATCTCCAGAGGTACCTTCCAATACCTGTGATTCCTTGAAATGGAACAGCAAAAATAGTTTTCAACCCTTCTTGCTTTGAACACCTAGAAATTTTCCAATTAATTAGTGGGCCCCTTTTAAAAAATTCATGCATAAAACTCTTTGTACAGGATGGAKGTACTGGCTTTGATCGGTGAGCACAACTTAAACTCTAAACTAGATCCCAGACACTCCWGAGGTCTGTAGATTCTAGACCAAAAACATTTTTAGTCCGTCTCTTTGACCTCATAATAAGATTCCTACAGCCACTATTCATGTCCCTCACCCCCTTAAATAGGGAATCTAATAGAGTGGGCATCTATTTAATATCAAACCTAACCTGACAATGTTTTCTTTTGTCTAATGACAATCCCATTATCTTCCTCTTCTTGATGCTTTTCTCGGTTAGGTAACACTGAGCTAAGAGCTGTATTCTTCACTGTAAAGAGAAAAACAAACACTGTTCCCCACATTATTTCCCTCTACTGTTATCAGCGCATAAGACCCAGCAAATTACTTAATTTCCATGTGCAAAATCAGAGATCGAGGATAGGGTCTGGTAATAGATATGCATTAAAGSCCTGCATCTAGCACATAGGCTGTGTGCTGCCATCAGAGTGCTGACTTTCAGCTTTCTAAGAACATTAAGATGTATGGGCCAGACTCAGACACCTTCTCTAACCACTTAACATGGTTAACGCAACTGCTCCTCTCCTGGCAATCGGCAGCCGTGGACAGCAGGTGGGCTGAATCATTCACCAACAGTCTCCTGAAATTAGAGCTTCACTAGGCATGACATTAACATTGGGTGTCTGAACAGAGTCTCTTATTTTTGGTTAGTCACAAGCACACGTTTTGAAGATTTCCAGCTGTTTGTTCCTTGCTCACTTTCCCCCTTGCCCTCATTGCTAGCACAGCAATGCACCTGCACACCTCGGGTTCTTAGATTTCTCTGCAGCCTTGGGAGAATTCTTCTAGATTGCTTTCTAAGGAGCACATGCTTAACAGTGAAAGACAGAAAATAGAGACACGGAAGGAAAAAAGTCCCTGGCATGTCACCTGCTGATGTTCTGCATTTCCAGGAACCAGTGGGGCTTCAAGTCCTGTCCCCGTAGCAGCATCAGGCCATTTTTGATGGTGATAAGCAGATTGCTGCAATTTGTGTCAGGTGCCTTCATCGTCTGCAGGAAGTCAACACCTCCACTGCTGCAAAAAGGAAAAGAAAGAGGAGACTTTTGTACCCCTAGGCTTATATTTGCACATCTTATCACTAGCTGCCTTTCCACAGGGCAATTCATCCTACCTAAGATTTGAACTATTCTTAGAGACATCTTTCCCCAGTAAGAGCTGAGCTTCCTAAAGTGTGTTACTCAGTTAAGTGAGGTAAATCCTCACTTAAAGCCTGTTTCTTTTTCTGAAAAATGTGAGTTTCTGTAAATGGCATGGAATTTGGGAGTTCACATTTGCTCTTTTTACTCTTATTCATGTTCACATTGACAGCAACTTGGCAGTAAGGGAGAAGGGGCTGGAAAATCCAGGAACACTTTTTTTCTTTTTCTTCTTCCAGGTATGCACATGTGATACAAGAAAGGAACAAGTTGCTGGAGAAGCAATGAGAAGGGCAATAATAAAATTAAAGTAGGAGGGTCCATCTCCAGAAGTACGAGGAGGTGCTCACTCTCCCCTTCCTCTCCTAGCAGAAGCAGGATGATAAGTTCATCTCCTACCTGTAAATGTCAATGAGCTCTGACAGGTTGACAGATCTGCGCTTTTCCCATTCTGGCTCCTCCTGCTGCAGCATTGCAGGGAAGCTGTCCCGGTTTCTGGCTTGGGTAAAGATATCCCTCAGAGCAACTGCTTGAACGTTACCTGTCAGGAAGAGTAAAGGTGAAGTCTTGCCCTCAAGGGTGAATGCTCCAATYGCACAAACAGTCCTTGGGAGCACTGAAGCCAAGGGCAAAGAAAAACTCAGAGCTGGAACTGCCATGGCGTGACGTGTCATGGTCAGAACTGTCTGTGGGAAACTCCAAAGTATTTCAGACTAGCTCTTATTGGTACTATGGTGTTCTCCCACACCACGGCAGTGACACTCTTTCCCAGACTGTCTACTTGCAGCTTTTACAGTGGAAGGCATGGCAGAGACATCCCAGGGATGTTCGGGGCTGCTTTCGGCAGAATTAATTTTACTTTTTCTCAGTAAGGAGAAGCACTGGAGAGCCATAGTGCATCTTACCAAAACCAAAAAGGATGTAGATGGCTCCCCGGCTGGTGATGTGGACTTGGGGACCGATCACTTTCCCTTCTCCATTGATGCTGTACTTCACAGGCCCACCCAAAGCAGTTCCAGTCTTTCCCGACACCAAGATAAAAAACACATCAGGCTGCAAAGAGAGAGACAGGAGGAGGAAGAGGAAGAGGAARCAATTCCTGGCAGTGCTTGCATGCATTTGAGCTCTCGGAGGTTGCCCTGGCCCCACAGCAGGAAGCACCACTGCGCTCTCCCTCCACAGCAAGGTCTGGCCAGTGGTGTTTTCCTCTTTGCTCAGTCTGGCTTCCTGAGACTCCTACATTTATGCTTTTCTCTTGGCTGCAAAGGCATTAGAGATAGAAGAGATGACAAAAATTAAACTCTTCTAACAACACTAACGCTAGAATTGTGGGGAGAGGATGAGCACAGAGAAAATCTACATCAGTATTAATCACACCAAGTGTTTCTTTTCTACAGATAATCTGAGTGCTCCTTTCTTCAAGGATCTCTACATGGGTTCCTACACTACTGCTAAACATTCACTTCAAATCGAGTATCTGCTGAAGGAAAACAAGTAGTTCTCAAATCTCAGCCAGGCAAAAATAATTACTCTTCTCTCCTGCTCCAGCTGAACAGAAATGCAGATAGATAGTATCATTACTGCTTGATCCCACTGCTCTGATCCACTGAAAGAAGGAAGGTGCTTTTCAGGTAAATCTAAGGGAAGAAAAATTACACAGGGGCTCTTATTACAGCCTTTCTACATCAGGCTCCATGTTCTTCCTCCATGGTCCTTTCAGACCCTGCCCAGGGAGATGCAGTACCTGTGTCTCTTTGAGCGCCAGAACAACCATATCCCAAACCCCATCTCCATCTACATCCGGAAGAATGGCAGCCGGTGCAGCCAAGATCCCATTTGAGAGATGGATGGAATTCAGTGTCCAGATGGTCTCGCCTGCAGGAGGAACAGGAAGAAAGAGACCTGCTGCAGGATTTTGGGAACTGGTGAACATCACCAGAGGGTTCTACACAACTTTCTTGAAGGATGAAAAAAGGGAGCTTGTTCTCCAKTTCCCTAAGAACAGGAAAGATAAGCCTACACACCAGGACAAACTGCACTTATTCATGCTAGGAAACAAAAGTTTTTCCCCAGCCTTTTTTTCAGATTGGCTTTGAGTCTTGCCTCAGCACCTCTATGGTTCCCTTCTATGATCACTCTAGTCAGACTTAAGCTTACAACACTTCCTGAAATAGCAGAGAGTATTGTAGGATCATTCTTGGGAGGAAAACCTATAGTGCTCTTCTACAGGACAGCAGTTGTCTTCCTCAGCCAACAGGAAAGCCTGTTGGTGGATATGAGGGGAGGAAACAGATGGGCAGCTCTGATACCCAAAGTGCAAATCTGTGTCTCAGCTAAATTCCCAGGAGCAAAGAGCCACTCCAGCATGGCATGCTCACTCCATCTCAAGGGGAAAGCCTGTTAGCAGTCATGATGTCAAACATTTCAGCAGTCCAGCAGGGACCCAGATGTAAACTCAGTAAAACCTGATTTATAATTGTAAAATTAACTTAAACACCCAAAGAAAGCAAAGTGAAATTTGATACTTTTAGTTCTTAGACTTCCTTTGCCAAGACTTCTGCTTTTTCAAACAAGATTTAAAAATCTTCTCCCTTTTCTTCTGTCATGTGGTTTCCTTGCATGACAAAGGAAACCAAACCCCAGACCTTTAAATGCTTATGCACATTATTAACATTACTACTGCTACTACTACTGCTGAAGGAGACAGCCTATTTTCCTGACAATACAAACAGCCATGTGAGTAATCTGGCACCTAAAAGCATTTGAAAATTAAGTGGTACTGCTCAAATGATTGGACTTATCACTTCAATCCAATGTTTCTTATGCCTTTCCATTTTCTGTTTATATTCTCAAAACATTCTTCTGTACTCATCCATTTTATTCCTGCCAGTTAAATAATGTGGTAGGCTTAACAGCAATCAGAGAATGGATATGCACAAAATCAGCATGATTAAAAATGTTCATGTGAGTCATGATACTGATTCACATCTAACAAATCCTTCTCTGGAAGGTTTGGTAGGCTGGAGCACATGTCTTTACATAATTTCTTCAAGAACAGCCTTCAGCTTTTAGTGTTGTTAGGTAGGGGCTGCAGATGTAGTCACAGCTCAGTATTAAAACAGCTGTTATAGAGCTTTTAAGCCACGAAGATGCTACAGGATGATATTAATACTTTGAAATGGTCTTAGACTATAGGAGGAAGATGCTACCACAGAGAAGCAATGGCCTGGATTCTCTCTTATCCTGTGTAACTAAAAACTCATCAGTGTTTAGACCCTTTTCTGTATGTCACTACATAATAGACTCTATGAAGTGCCAGCACTGAAATATTCTTGCTTATTAGTCCTTTAAAGAAAAGAAAGGAGCAGCATCTTTCTAACATGTTGGTATCTGCCTTTACCTGTGGAGGCATTGAGAAGGCTGAGGAGTTTAGATGTTCCTGTCACGAGGCAGACAGGCTCTGCAGGAACTCCCAGCGACAGCCCTTTGCACTGCACATTCAGAGTCTCCTCGGGAAGGTGGATGGACCACAGGGTGCTGCCATTCATACCGGAAAGAGCCACCAGAGTCACTGAAGGTCTAGAAACACCTAGAAGGGACAGGAAGGAGAGACTGAAATCCCCTGGCATCAAAGGCTAGCTCCACACTGTCCTTGTGCTTGAGTTCCAGATCCAGCTTACGGAGCTGAGATCAAACACTGCCTGAAAGCAAACATCAAATCCCACAGCAAGGCTGAGTCTCTGTGACCCTGAAGCCCAGCAGTGATCTCCTGACAAGAGTCGTGGTGTGGGCCAACAGGGCAGGTAATGCTGGAGGCCGGACCTGAGCTCAACCATGAGATGTGGTCGGGTAGGCACAGAGGAACCAAGATCCTCCTGGGGCCAGTCTGCTCAGTTATGCTGATTTCTGGGATGAAACAAATTCCTGTCAAATCACACTAGTCTCCCGATTCTTCCTTCTTCAAGTCAACAGCTAGCACTTTCAGAAAGCCTTAAGTGATTCACACACTCTTCTCTAGGGAGGCCACAGTCTTCTCTTGCAAAGGAAAGGTCTTTGCAAGAGAAAAGACTGGAAGAAGAGGGCCACAGTCTTCTCTTGCAAAGGACCGAGGTAATCAGTATTTCTGGGGCAGAAGGTGATTTGACAATTTGAGTATTTTTTCTTTTGTTTTTCAAATTATTTTCAGTGGTTTTAAAAACAGACTGACTACTGAAAATTGGTGTAACCTGGCATCTTTTCCTAATTACCACAGTGGAAATCAAGTGGCTCATGCTGAGAGGATGGCTCTTACCACTGGATAGGCAGTGACCAAAACCACCTAACTCCTCAATGCAGCTCCTAGCTCTTGTGTACATAAGCTGCTAAAGATGCCATAGCTTAGTCCATCAGGTACCTGCTCAAAGCCTATCTCTACCAGGCACTGTACAAATGCTCTGGGCACAAAGTAAAGGAGAGCTGATGTCCAGTACTGTGGGTGCAGGATTATGACTTGCTTACACCTGCTTCAATGTCTGCTTTTGTCTCACAGCATAGCTGTAACCCAGGATGCAGCCTTCTATGGCTAGTTTCAACTCCTGGAGCATTTTGAGAACTGTATGTTTGTCTCTGACGGAAGATAAAAAAAAATAAAATAGCAAAATACAGAGGAGGAGGACAGTCCTTACAAACTGAATGCAGCCTTTATGTCAACAGTAGCTCTATTAAAAGAAAAACAAAAAACAAAAAACAAAAAACTTACCCTGCAGTTTTCTCTTTGCCCATGGGTTTCTTGATTTTCTCTGAAGTACTCACAGCTTACTTGGGCAATAGAGGAGCAACATTTTTCCTTTCCTCTAAGTTTTTATTATCCTTTTCCTTGCAGGCCAGGGCACTGAATTTATTGCTATTTTTTTTTTCCTCACCATAGTTCTCTTCAGGCTGTGCAATGTGTTTTTGCTTCCTCAACATGTCTCCAGGACTGAATCTGAGGTGAAACCAGGCTGGGGAGATAGCAAGCTCCAGGGCCTCAGAAGCCCTGAGCACCAGTTCGCCTCCAGACTCGGCAGCCCCTACATGACAGTGCTGGGTATCTGCAGGCTGCTGCTGCTGCATTCATCATCTGTCGAGGTAGCAGAGAGTGCGAGCAGCTAGGATAAAGTAGCAGCCTGCTACAAAGCCAGGCACCCTGGCTTTCCAGCCATCAGGCAATCGCCTGTGAATTAACAGCTCCTGTCTGGAGCCTGGTGAGAGCATGGAGTGCCCTGGAGACAGGAGCAGGAGGGTGTCTCCTGCAGCACCAACCTACAGCTGCTCTGAAAATAAAATAACTCTTATTAAAATAAGAGAAATTTGTCCAGCCTTCCTGGGCTCCAGGGAAGACAGGGAATCAGAGCAGCTACAGGGGAGAGTATCTGGCTGGCAAGCAGAGTAGCTCAGCGGAACCAGAGTGCTCCAACTGTCGGCTCTGCCATCGCTGCTTCTATCCCCAGTACCTTAGTAAAAGCCAGGACACTAGACTATGGATCAGAAATGAGACATACGAGTCCACACTCTGCCTCTGGATCTCATTCGTGACCTCTGCCAATCTGCTACTCTTCTCTACATCTCCACTTCCTTGCCTGCAAAATGGACACAGAGAGACAGAGCTCCGTTGTGAGAGGTTTTGAAAGCTACCAAAGGAAATAAACCTTATTCCTAGTTGCTATTTTTAGTGTGATGTTTTTCTGGTGGATATAGCCCGACCACTAGATCAAGAGCTGCTCAAACAGAAGACAAAAATACAGACTTTCCTTGGATAGACCTGGGGGAATGRAAGGCTCTGACCAGAGGAACGTAGTCCAGGAATGGGAGTACGGCTTGAAATGGAAATTACGAGCAGTGTGGCAAAGCTCTGATACAGGACAGCAGCCATTTTAAGGAAATCTGATAAAAGGACAACGTGGTGGCTTTCCAAGTTGCAGAAGCTCTTCCTATGCATAACAGGAATACAGAAAGGCACGTATTTAACAAGAAGCAGAAAGAGGAATGGAAAGGAGCTGTGCTGCTTACCCATGACACTGGCATTCATCAAGGCTGTGAAGACGATGAGGATGTCAGGGAGCCCATCGCCGTTGACATCGCACAGCTCCAGCGGGGATAACACACCACCTGCAACGTCAGAGAGCATCACCAGCCTGTTGTCAAAATGGCCACTGAGCCCAACAACCATTCCAGGCATTGAGGGCTGGCCCAAAGGAGGAGATTCATGGATAGATGAGCCGCATGGAGTCTGCTAGGTAACTACCAATGCCTGGCAGCTCCCACCATGGCTAGATCTTTCATTGCATGGAAAAGCAGAGACCTAGCATCTGGGTCAGAGAAAGGAAAAGGGAAAAATGTAGGAACCAACAGATAAAGATGCTTGCTTCCCACCTCACTCTTTGAGGTGAAGTGGGAGACAAACATCTCATAAAAGACTCAGATTTAGAAGCTGGGGGCAGAAAGAGGGGAGGGAGAGACATATCTAGACTTGACAGAAATTATCTCACAGAACACTGTTACTTTGCTGCAGAAGTCAGAATGGGAAGCACTTTAGAAATGTTACCAATAGTCTGTATAGAATGACAAGAGATCATAAATGTTGATTTATGGATTTGAGCAAGGCAAGAAGACAAAAGAAATAAGGTTAGTTGAGCCAGTCAGGAGACACAAAGGCTTCTATCCCTCTCCTCCCAAGTGTACCCACACGCTTCAGTGTGGAGATGCTGGTGAAACATGGGAACTAGAGACGGAGGCAAAATGTTTTAAAGTGGTCTGGTCCATCTCTGTCTGGAGCAGACAGCACCATTCAGAGAAAAAGGCAGGATGAGAGAGAAGTCAGAATGCTTTTTGGTGCTCACATAAACAAGATTTGGTGGCACTATTATCTACTGAGGCCAGATCTCACAGGCCTCCATTTCAAGACTGAGCACGAGACAGCCGCCTGGGTGTTACCTCAGAGCATCTGCGGTGGTGAGGAAAGGTCTCTGCTCTGAGCTGGCTCTCCCAGATAGGTCTCTCCCGCCGATGCCCTGGGAGCTGCCACCTCCCCCACGCCAGATGTTGCTCCTGGAGCTTTCTCACCTGCTCCCTGACCTAGGTTGCRGTTCCAGGTGTTATGCAAGTCTCTAGGGGGACAGGGAATTAGAAACGCACACACCAACACCAGAATCATTGAGATCACCACAGTGAGCAAAAAGACCGCTGTGCGCAGGTAAGGCATGAGGGAGGGAGCAGCCTTCTGCTCCAGGCTCCCGGCTGCCTCTGCAGGGTAGCCCTCGGGCGCGCTGTCTGACGTGTGCTGCTTTGTCATCCCAACCTCCACATCAGAGTCGGGCTCCTGCACCTCCTCGGGGGGGCTCTTCCCATTCTTGACCCCCCCATTCTTCTGTATGTTGAGCACCAGGTCATCTTCACTTTCATCACTATCAGCTTGCGTGAGGGGATCATATTCCCCAAGATCCGGGCTCTTTTTTCCTGAGAAAAGAGATTGAGAAAGATAATAACACATTAGCTCCTTGCTTTTTCAGGGTCTCAGTGAAGAAAAGGCTGCAGTGGACAGCAATGAAGAAAGGAAGAGTTAGCAATCTGAATTTTGAACTCCTTTAGCATTTGCCAAGCTCTTATCCTGACCCAGTCCCTCATCACTTCGGTGCTATATCCTCCAGTGAGGGCCTCCTTCTGCCACTCACTTTTCCCCTATTCCTCCCACCTTGTCAAAGCAGCACTGCTGCATTTTCTGTCCTGCATCAAAGGGAGGGAAAGGCAACAGAAGGGCTTGAGCACTGTGTACCATTTCTCAACAGCATTGGTAAAAATGGGTATCAACTCCTTGAAAATGAGGACACAGTAAATGATTTTACCCTGTTGGGTGAGTAATGTTCTGGTTTCCCAAGGCAGCAAGGGCGCTTCCCCAAAACACCACCTTCTCTGCCTGAGAGGGAGCGCTCCGGCCCTGGCAGCAGGACCCTCAGTGCCCCGGCGCTGCCCCAGCTCCCCGCAGCAGCGGCAACACGTGCCGGCCTTGCGGAGGTTGTGGGGGTGGCACTGGGGCCTTCAGCTGGTGTCACGGGAAGGCAGCTGAGCCCCACGGGGCCTGCACCTCTGGCCACGCCGCCAGCGCTGCGTGATGCACAGGGACACAGGGCTGCCACAGGGACACAGAGCTSCACAGACAACTCCTCCCCAAGGCCTTGGCGGCGGCRCGGACAGGGCTGAGGGCAGGTGCAGGGCCCGGCGGCACAGGCTGGCACGAGGCCAAGGCCTCTGCTTACTGGGGGGCAGGCGAGATCATCGCTGCCCTGAGCGACGAGCGGAGGATCACGTCTGAGGGAGCTGCCCGGAGCCACCAAMCTGGGCACGGAGCCACGGCTGCCGCCCTGGGGCCTGCAGGGCCTCAATCCGCTCCTCTCTCTCGCCGGCTCCAGGGAGGGCCTTCGCCCCAGACATCTGTCTCGTTTTCCTTTGAGCAAAGCTGACCTGCGCCAGGAGCCATCCTGTGCCTTAGCCTGCTTACAGCAATGCAYGCAAGGCCGAAATAACACACAAAATCACACAGGTTGTAATCAGGCTCAGACATTAAGACGATGGGAAAGCTCTACCAAGCGGAAATTAAAGAACTCTCCTCATCCCTCTTATTATACTAGACCATAAATTTTCTTTTCCTATAGTATCACAGTTACGAATACACTGTAATATCCAGGCAGTGCAACACACTAGAATCTGTTTTGCATCMTTTGGGTATCTCTGTTTTACCTGAAATATTCACGCAGCCTTAAAAAAAAGACCAGCAAACCACTGGACACATCCAACCTTTGCCAGCTGTCTTATAAAGGAGGAAGCAGGGAGAGGCCTTCCTGTCCAGTGTTTGGTATCAGCTTTAGAAGGTAAAACTCAACCCCAATAAAGCCGAACAAGTTAGGCCCTTCTGTTCCTAACTATGTGCTTACACAAAAGGCCTGCATCAAAACAACACACTGCACATATTCACTCCAAAGTGCTGTGTCTGGTAGCAGTAGAGACCAATTAAGATACTAATCCCTATGGGACAGCTGTATMCCTGCCCAGCACTGCACTGTGTCACACAGACGTGTCCTGAAAAGCCTTGCATGTGGAGCGTGTGCATTTTGGGAAGAGCTGGAGCCTGAAACCTGTTCTTCATCTATGGGGCAACTAAAAGCATTGACAGGAATGAGCTTTATCCTGAACAGCTTCATTTTGCATCTCTAAGAGACAGAATAGACCTTGAAACTGAGGCTCGTCCAGTCTTTGAACTAGCTGAGATTAAGACAGTGGGACAGCTACAGTGGTGTGAGCTGTCACAAATACCTTGTAGTGGGGACACCTTTGCTGCTGAGAACCTGTTAACAATCCCAATCTGCTTCTCAGAATCTAAAAACGACAACGTAGGCTACACAGTAACAACTTAAGGTTTTAAGTCAGGAAAAGCACCGCTGATTTACAGAACTAAAAGGCACTAAGCTGTTCTTATTTAGCTGTCTTATTTAACACCTGACTAAAAACCAGCAACTGGGTTTCCCAAAGGCTCACTGGTATCCTTACAAGGGCAAATAAAGTCATGCATGAAATGCAGTGCTGCTTTTAAGTCAAAAATAGGTTATTTCCTGCCCTTTAATAACAGCTGTTGGAGCACTCACCTATGTTGTGGGAGACACAATACCATATCTAATCTCAGTGGATGCAAACCTTCATCTCTTACTGCTCGGAGAGCATCCTAGCAATCCGTAGCTGTTCTGGGAACGCACTGGGAYGGCCGGGAAGGGTATGCTCAATCCAGCCTCTTCACGTGCTGAGAATAACTAACTCAAGATTCGCCTGGCAGGAGACGGAGAGCAGGAGGAACGCAGCTCCACTGCAGCCTGAGGTCACTTGGTGCGGGAAGGAGGGACACAATACCCAGTTTCCACTAATCACTCCCAAATGATTTTTAAACAGAAAAGCATGAAGACATAAATAGCTGTATAGGGTTTGTGAAAACAAGGGCAGTCTCACACCACGCAGACAATTATCATTTATTAAGAAACACTCACGATGTCATATTTGATCCTTTCCGGTCAACTCCTGGATTCAGGCTAGGGGAAACACCATTGTCCATCAAGAGGGAGCTGAAACTGCTTTTGTTGTAAGGGAACAATTGTTAGAAAAATCTGACAAATTTTCAGCTTTTCAGTGGCAGGACAGTGGTTCCCAGTCAATGGTCTGTGGGTTACAAGCAATGTGAGGAACTCTTGCTCGTGGTTTGTGGCCAAGTTACCGGTTATGTGGCCCTGGATTTTAGTTGACCGCAACTGGAAGAAGAAATACTAAAGAATTAGATTTTCAAGGGAAGAAAGGAGAGAAAATGCCCCAAACTTGTTTACTTTCAAGAGCAGTTGAATCCAATTTTTTTATACCATATCCCTATGTACTTGCCTAATCATACTTTTTGCACAGGCAGCTCTTTGATTATTGCAGACGTACAATGCGACCTTTCATAGAAGAAAAGATTAAGTATGTGATCACGAACTGGAAAGGAGGCATCCGTGAGATGATCCGTGTTGGAATCAGGTCCAGATCATAATGAAATACTCCTCTGTAGTGCTGACGACTTGAAAGATATTAAACTGTCATCAGTTGCTTTATTTACTGGAAAGACTTTTCTTTGCACTAGCTTCGGAGGAAAGAGAACTAATCTTGGACTTYAGACAAGTGCAACTTTCATGTGTTATCCCGATCCCGACCTACTGCTATCTAGTTCTAGTAGACCGGTTCCAGGCTTCTGATATTTTTTGTTTTCCTTCTTCAGCTGGGAGTTGGCAGGCAGCAGTTACTGGGTACAGCAGACACATTTCTAGGCCCGTGGGGAGGTGAGTTGCCACATACTGYAATTAATTTTATGAGATGCAGAAGGAAAAACAACTATAGAAATAGGCCTTCTGCCTTCTCAATGCTGTTAGAAGCTGTAAGTTTAGACATAATCACATAAGTAAGATAGCAGACAAGCTGTTTAACCTAAGGATTGACAGAACTGTTTTCCTAAGCGCAGCTGCAAGGATGGTGTTTGTTCCCAAGTCAGTGCCTCCCAGACGCCGACACCACACAGTTCATCCCAGCTCTGCAGATCCACATTTATACTTGTTGTTGCACAGTTCCTCGTTGCTCGTCAACAGACGTGCACTTTTACTCACCARGCTGCACTTTTCTTAATAAACCTCTTGCAAGCCATATTTCTTTCACAGAATTACAGAATCACAGAATGGTTAACATTGGAAGGGACATCTAGAGATCATCTAGTCCAACGCCCCTGCCCCAGCAGGGACACCCAGAGCACATAAAAAGTGCTCTAGGTGTCCTAGAGCACGTTTATCTGTCTCCAGACAAACCAGAAAGAAACTGAATAGCAAGCAAAACTTCTTAGAGCATAAAACACTGCATAAATTAAAGAATACTAATGATAGTAGAGGACAACTTATACGGATTGATAAATGCTGTTGACATGACTGCCTGCAGACATGACTGTGACCTTCATGGACAGCTTCCCATGTGGTGGGAAGCCCCCCKGGCCCCYTGCCTGTGACACAACATAGGGGCAYCTTTTTGGCACAGCCCCTTTTGGTGGTAACTTGTCCTCCCACTACCTCAAAGGGCAGGGCAATGCCCTTGGGCAGCGGGAACACGATGTGCAGAGGCAACTACCCCGCACAGAAACTCCAGAAAATACATGCCAGCCGAGCTCTCAAACGGCAGCTATTGTTTCTTTATACCCTCATTTCAGGACTTATCTAGGAGACATCTCATTTGCCAAACAATAGTCCCTCCAGGAGGAATATCCCTTCATCTCCCTGCAGGGAAATTATCCTCGCCTATTTAGGCGGGTTTTAACATTAACCCGTCTCACACACTGAGCTCCCGGCCTGCTGCCACAGGGCAGAACGGCGACAGTGGCGCGCGAGGGTGGCCCGGGCACGGGGCCACGTGCTCGGAGCCCTCGCGCCCGCTCCCCTCCCGACCCGGCCCGGTCCGCGCAGGTCCACTCCGGTCCGGTCCGCCCGCCAACAGCCGCATCGCCATGGCAACGCCCCCCCCCCCGTTCCCCGCCGTYCGCGCTGGCGGGGAGGGGGCGCAGGGGAAGACCCGGATGTGGCTCCCGCGGGCGGGAACGGAGCCCCCTTACCTGGCAGCTTCAGCGCCCGGGACAGCACCGTGGCCATGCTGGAGCGGGGCACTGCGCACGCGCGCCGCCTCCCGCCCCTTCCCGCCCTCGCGCGGGCTGCTGGGGACGGTAGTTGGGTGGCGGGGGGTGGGGGTTGCGCCTCGCGGCGGGCGCCGTTAACGGCCCGCGCGGGGCGGAGCGGGGCGGCGCGGCGCGGCGGCTCCTCGGCCCGGTGCCGCGGTGCAGCCCGCGGCCACCTCCCGCAGCGCGGCCCGGAGCCGCCGAGGCGGCCGCGTGTCCTGCCCCAAATAGGAGCTTCCCACCCCAAAACAGTGTTTCCTTCACCAGCACTGCCAGAGCCCCCACAGCCCCCACGGGGCAGTCAGGAGTCCCCCCTCCTCTCACGGGGACCAGCTTCTGGGAMGTTTTTGGTTGGTAGAAATCGAATTTGTTGATTTTATTTTCATTTTTCTTCATGGTTATAATTCTGCCAAGGCTTTTCCCAAAGCTCTCCCTGGGCCTCACCGCAGCCTTCTGAGGTAGCTACTTCCTCTCTCCCTTGCTCCCAAGGGTGAAGTTGAGCCAGAAGGATTTTGTACCTCTCCCAGGTCGCACGGACCCAGCTGCCCAAYGCCTGGGTTTGTGTGCAGGCCGTTTGGGAATGCTGCTCCCTCAAGCTTGCTGTGAGTGAGAGCTCTTCAAGGCCCACTCCTTCCTCGCCAAAAAAGCTGCTTTCAGTGGCTGAATATCAAAAAAAAAAGTCCAACTGGCTAAAGAACTCATCATGTTTTCTCAGCATCTGCTGCTGCCTTCCTCAAGTTTGGGTGCTGTTCTTGCAAATAATTTACTTACCTTTTGATACAAACTTGAGAAGAAAGGGAGAATTAGCTCCTGATCCAAAACTTACTGGTATCAATTCTTTTTTTTTTTTTTTT